ACTCTTTCCTTCCTTGCGTGATCTAGGAAGAGCACACACCTGAGAATCATAGTCCCCTGGACAAATCACTTAGCCTGCTTTGTAAAATAGAAGGAGAAGCTGGCCCCTTTATGTCAGCAGTAATACTCTGTTATTCTGTCATCTGGGGAGAGGTCAGCCTTAGTCAGGTGCCGCCATGAAAAGGCGGAGTCTCGTGTGGTGGTACAGTAGGAAATGTCATAGAATATGAGTGTTGTTTGGAAGGTCGGGAGATTAAAAATAGCCTTGCAGATGATGGTCTTTTACTAACTTAAAGCATGGGAGACATCATTTGCCTAAGGTAAGAACTGTTCAGGTCATGATTTACTAGGAGGCAGGTAAAGAAAGTGGGAAGAATTTACCGTGGAAGAAATCAAATTTTAATGAAAATGAAACATTTTTGAAAGCATAGAGATGACTAGCTCTATGTCCTGCTGTTCACTGGAATAGGAGCCAGACCAGTTGCAGCCACTGACTGCTCACACTTACCTTCAGTGCATGTTTAATAACATAATAATAGTTACCATTTGGCTGTTGGACACTTACTGTGTACCAGGCACTGTGCCAGGTACTTCTGTGTTCACTATCTTTGGTAATCCTCAGCATTAACCCCCACTATTTTACAAGTTCAGAACTGTTTGTTCCAGTCCCAGAGTGAGGCAGTGGCAGAGTCCAGGTCTAAACCCAGATCTGCTGTCTCCAAGGCTGGTGCTCATCCCACACATCACAGCTCTCCACAGTGAAGACAGAATAACTGAGAAACTGCTAGTGAGAAATTAGGCAAAGGATGCTGCTGCATTCATCAGTCTCCCTGAGTAAATACTGTGATTGCCTGCAGGTGCCTGACACCCGAGTTCCCTTGGTGAGATGACAAAGCATAAAAATACTGAGTTGCACCATTTATAAGAAACATAAATGTGGTTTGGGGTTGTTGTTTTTTTTTCAGTATAGAGGGCAGAGTTTAATCCTGAAATATTATTGATGATCCAAGATGTTGCCAACAAGAATGAAGCTATAGCACAAAATTTATCATAAGCATGAGTCTTTAAAAGAGCATTTTAACTTACAGGATTTTTCCCAATATATAGTAATTTAGACTCATTGTAAAAGAAAATTTTTTTTAATTATGGAAGAATAGAAAGGGTAAAAGTTAAAATTGTCCATAATCTCACCACTCTATAATAAGGATTTTTAACATTTTTGTGTTTTACCTTCTTAGCTCTTATTTTCATATACTTTTACATGTTCTCTTCAATATGGTTCTATTTCATTTCATATATTTATATAAATATCTACTTGTAGATACTTATATTTTTATATTTACATGTTTATTTTATGTGTATAATTATCTTTATTTTGTATACCTACTCTGTATATGCATATAAATTTTTTTGACATTTAGCTGGTTGTATAATTTTGTATTCTTTTTCTCCACTTTTTAATTTTTTATATTTTCTAGTTTTATTGAGAAATAATTGACATACATTACTGTATGTTTAAGGTGCACAGCATGATGGTTTGATTTACATGCATTGTGAAATGCTTACCACAATAGCTTCAGCTAACATCCATCTTCTCATATGGATACAATTCAAAAAAAAGAAAGGAAAAAATTTTTCTCCTTGTGATGTGAACTCTTAGAATTTACTCTTGAAACAAGTTTGCTGTGTATCCAACAGCAGTGTTAGCCGTAGTCTTCCCCACTTATTTTTAGGGACTGCATAATATTTCCCTAGTATGGAGGTACCATAATGTATTTGCCCAAATCTCTGTGTTGGAAATTTCAGCTGCTTCTAAATTTGTTTTTACAGACAGAACAGCATCTGTTTTTATGCAGATTTGACTAAAACTGTTATTTCCTCAAAATAGGTTCCTAGAAGTAGAATTGCTATGTCTAATACCAAGAAACTACAGCCACAACTTAGGATTGGAGCACTTACCATGCACTAGATGTTGTTCTAAGTGCTTTACTTACATAAAGTTATTAATCTCATAACTCTGAGGTAGGTTCTCTTATTTTCCCTGCTCATAGACAAAGAAACCTGAAACACATAGAGGTGAGGTAATACACTCAAAGTTATAGAGTAAGAACATTTTGAAGACTTGATATTATTGCCAATAGTTTTTCAAGTTGCTGGTTTTTAAGAAAATAGATTATGTTGAGCATTTGGCAACAGCCTTATCACTAGAGGAGCTACCTTTCAGTGTCTCTCCTGTTATTCTCTAAGTCATCCCTACTTTGGAAAGTTTATTGAGTTTTCTAATGTGCTAATTAAAATTATCAGGGGCAAATTCATTTAACTAATCCTGGTTGCTCAGGGAAATGGCTTTTATGCTCAAGGAATTTGACTTATGTACCAGACAAATAGTGAACTTTTATCTTCAAACAGTTACCATCTGTGGAACTGATGGCCAGTCTAGGCTCTGCCTCTTTCTGTGGCTCCATTTTGGCTTCATCTTCAGCTGAGTTCTGTCATTGTTTCCCAAATAGACTCGGCTACGTCACAGACCACTAGGAGTCTTTGAGAAATCTGTAGTCCTGGGTTCCACTCTGGAAAAACTTTAAAATTTTTTTCTTTTACTTAAATATGTATACACACAGAGTTTTGTTTTGTTTTTTATCACAGAGTCCAAAAAGGTTATAACAAAAAATAGCAGTTTGTTCCGTACTTCTCAGACTCACTAAAAGAGGCTGCCACTTTCAACTGCTTTGACTATTTCTTCCAAAACCTCTGTAATTCTAAAACTATTTACTGTTCTTTGTGGACTTATCAATGTTAATTACTGTTGATTTCTGTTATAGGTTAGAAATTAGCTCTCTTAGACCTTACTGTCACTACCTCACCTCCCCTGCCTCCACCTTCCCTATATAATTATATCACAAGGTAACATTATGACGATGAGCCAGAATTCTGTGATGTTTTTCGTTCTTTCTTACATGAGGTTTACATTTTTCCCCGTACCATCAGATTTCTCAGATCACCATCATTCTGAACTCGTGAATGTATCAGATTATCTGTATTTTTTTTTCTTGCAGTTGAGCCCTTCCAGCACTTTCTAAAGTCTTCTTCTAGTCTAAATTGTTGTACTGCTATTGCCCTAGGACTTTTCTTCACAGGGTTTCCTATATTGCATCCCCACCTCACCCTAATTCCATTTCCCAAGTCCTATGACTTCCTATTTCTTGATCCAATCCCTTCTTTTGATGGTATCCAAACTCTAGTAGCTTCCTAAGAAAGGGTGCAAGGGAGCTGAATTTTTGAGTTCCTGAAACTGTCTTTATTCTGCCCCTTTTTTCCTAGAGTGTTGCTTTGGCTGGTATAGAATTCTAGGTTAATAGTAATTTTCCCTCAGTACTCTGAAGGCATTCCTCTGATGTCCTCCAGCTTCCAGTGTTACTGTTGTAAAATCTAATGTGCCACTGTGTATAAACTGTTCCTCACCTCCTTCTAGATGCTTTTAGGATCTGTTCTTTATGCCCACATTCTAAAATTTCACTGTGTTCTCCTTTTGGTCTTTACCATTCATTCTGCTGAGCAGTTGGATAGGTCTTTAAATCTGGAGACTCATATCCTTCAGTTCTGGGAGATTTTCTCACATTATATTTTTGGACAGTTGCCTTCCCTTCATTCTCTGCTCTCCCTGTACCCCTGTCATTATTTGAGTATTCATTATGTGCCAGGCAGTGGAATAAACACATCCTACATGTCCCATTAATCCCTCAAATAAGGAAAGTGCTATCAGTCATCTTCTATAGATGAGGAAACTGAGGTTCTAGGAGTTTAATCACCTTGCTTAAATTCCTCAAGCTAATATGTAAAAGGTTGGGGATTCAGCTCCAGGTCTCCTCACCCACGCCTGTGCTTTAACCACTGCATAATGCCAGTCACTTTCCAGTTGCAAAAAAGGAGAGGGTTGATTCTCAAAAGACTTTCAATGTAAGGAAGCTCAAAGAAGCAACTGCAGAATGATTATTCAAGATTCCAAAATGTCTCCAGAGAACTCAGCACAGCCAACCCAGTAGGTGCCAGATAGCAGATTTTAGCAAGCTTAGGGAACAGTTGGCCTGCAAAGGGAGGGGAGCTATAAGGAGCTTAGGAAATCTTCCATCAGGGAAGCAGTGTGGTTGGTGGTGTAGTTGAAAAAGCATAGAGACGATTCTAAGTTCAGATCCCAGCCCTGGCGCTCACTAGCTGTGTGATGTCTCTCTGTCAAATAGGAATGTAAATTATACAGGGTTCTTACAAAGATTAACTGGGATAAAATACGTTAAAGCATCAGTGTACAAGCAGACAACAAATGTTAACCCCCTTCCTTTTTAGAAAATATTCGAGACTACAAAGGAAATATCCATGTAGGGGGAAATAGGAGACACGCAAAGAAAGTACATGGAGATGAGATACAAATAGGATGGTGAGACGCCCTGCCAGGCTGGCCATGTGCCGACAAAGACTATGGTAGCAGCATGCATGCAGGTCATCCTGAGCACTCAACCAGAAGAGGCTGGATCACTGTGAATGAGAAAGGAGCTTTTCTCAAACTGTTTTTCTCTCAGCATTCCCTGACTCGATGGGATTATGCATCCTGAAGATGGCCCAAGAATATACTTACTTCTTCTAGCCTTAAAGTGATTTGGTGCTTGAAACATAATTTTAGAGTCCATGAGCTGAAAGGCTGTATGCCTTTTTTTTTCACTCTTGCTCCCCTCAGCTCTGTATGTGTGTGAGTGTGTGTGCACGCATGCGCTTGTGCATGAGTATAATGTGCAAGAGAGCGAGCCGTGGTGCAGCTTCTCACGGGCAATTCTTTTGCAGTTAGCTCTGAGGGCAGCTCCATCCTATGAAGATTTTGTGGCTGCATTAACCATTAAGGAAGGCGACCACCAGAAAGCAGCTTTCAGTGTTGGGATGCAGAGGGACCTCAGCCTTTACCTCCCCGCCATGGAAAAGCAGCTGGCGATACTGGACACTTTATATGAGGTCCACGGACTGGAGTCTGACGAGGTGGTATGATGTCTGCAGGGCAGCTCCGCCTCCTAACTTCAGGGAATAAAGTTCGCTAAAGTGTTTCGTTGCCCTACTTAATTTCCAGCAGCAGCTTCAGTCCTCTCCAATCCCTTACTTGGGGGGATGGAGAGCAGGAGGCAAAGCCTAGTGCTTTTATGTATAATTTTTTAAGTGCATATATGTTTTGTGTGTTTAAAAATCAAGGTGCTATATATTCAGTTCAAAGGGCCTCCTGGAAACCAAATTATAGCTGTCACACAGACGTGAACAGCGAGTTATAAGAGCAGATTTGACAAATGAATTTGTTAGTATTGTGTTTTGCTTTTAGTTTTAATGGGCCACCCAAACCCAAGCTGAAAATGAGCAATTTTTTTATCAAGGACTGTAACTCATAGCCAGTGTTTCAATCAATTTAGAATTAGACTAAAAATTTAGAGGGAGCGCAGCCCCTTTGTTGAAGCTATTGAAATGTAGAGTTTGCTCTTCCTAGAGCCTAGAGGATTCCTAGAATCCTCTTCTCTGCGGCTCTGTGGGCCAGAAGAGCCTGTGTAGTCAGTGTGTCCGGGGCGTTGGTGTGACCAAGCAGTGCCATCCCTGTTTATGGGCCAGGAGACTGGCTCTGAAGAGATGAGTGGTATGTCCTAGCCCCGAGCTGGAGGACAGTATGGGAGGGGTGGGACAGGTCATCTGAGGTGACCCCTGTGCAGTGCACACCCTTTGCCAGCCTGCTTTCCTCGGCATCATCTCAGTTGGACATCAGAGCAAAACCGTAACATTCAGGGATTATTATTAAACTTCAAAAGTAAGGTTTAAAGGTCGAGGGATTTGCTCAGTCACATAGCCACTAAATAGAAGAACCACGTGATTTCCATGTGTGATCTGGACCACCTCTGCATCAAAATCACATGGAGTGCTTGTTTGAAAAGCAAATTCCCAGGCCTTACCTTGACCTGAAGAACCAGAATTGTGGGATTGGGACTCAGGATAATAAACCTTGAATTTGAATAAACTTCCCAAGTTATTCTTGTGCACACAGGGATGAAGAGCTACGAGATTAAGTTCTAGTTTACAGAATTCCCAGTCCTCTGCGTGAACTAAGTGATGTGTCCTTTTTTTCAAAGAGGAAGAGGCTATCGTTGAAATGAGTTAGTTAAAGGGAGAGTGAGAAATGGAGCAAGTTTACTCAGCAGGTTTCTTAACTGAGCCAGCAGGCCTTCAGGGACCGCGGTTCTGAATGTGCTCTCTGATCAATCTTGGCTTTATCACCAATGGTGCAGAGTAAGCTAAATGCAGCTGCTTATCTTATCTCAGAAGCTCTGGGACTGTGTCACAGTTTAAAGGTGGGATTTAAGCCTTTCACAAAACAGCCTTGTGTAGGCATTCTCCTGAAGAGCGTGATGCCAGGACTGTGGCCCTAGTCTCTCAGTAGGCTGGGCTGCCAAGAGCGGGCGGCGGGGAGAGGCCATGGCTGCCTTCCCTGTCAGGGGCTACTCGCTTAAAGTAGCTGGAAGGGAAGTTCCCCGGGTAGAAGGTGAGTTCCTTTGAGGGGCACAGGTGATGCTGTCCCGAGGGCAAAGAGCACCCTCTCCTTAGGTGAGAGATTAATGTAGGGAGGGGTATTGATTTTTTTTGTCTGTCTTTAAACAAATGGGCATTTATGTAGCTCAAATTAACGAAGCAGATACTGTGCTCAGTAAGGACTTCTGGAAAATGCTTAACCTTTAGAAAAGCGACATCAAATATTTTAAGGCTAGGGAGAAAAAGGGTGCTAAAGTGATGTTGATTCTTTTGTATCTTAGCGCTTGCTGTTAGCAGCTGCTAAGGTGTGTATATTGTCTTCTCCCATTCCCACGAATAATTAGTGCGGACCTCCTTCTCTGGCTAGTGTGAACATGATGGCAGGACTAGGGGATAACTTAGACTTCCTGCCCTTACAGAGCCTCCTAAAAGGGAAAAAGAAAAAGCCACCAGCCTTTGCTTTACCTTGAGTGAATGCACATTAGACATTGAGCCATTGGGTGGGGATGCTGCCAGGAGATTGTAAGTGTTGTGAAGCACGACCGTTCGGAGCAAGTGGTGGTGCTCCCCGACACCTCAGGAGAGCTGGTCTGGTCTCTGGGAGAGAGGTGGGCACACTGAAAATACCTCAGATTTTCCACCAAGGCTTTGAATACACACAAAAAGAAAGCTGCTCAGCACGGCCATTTCGCGTTTCTATAGGTACTGCCTTGGTGTATATGACCCAGTTTTCTGGGAAGGAAGGGTTTCATATTATCTGGGATCTTTGGGAACCCAGATCAGAGTAGCTTGAATAACTTGAATAAGTTGCATTACCTACTCAACACTTTTCCAACCCTACAAGAAGGGGGTAATGTTTTTTGATAGGTATTTTCCTCACTGGAGCATAGTATGTTTACCTAAGATGCGTAAAGCTCTGGAAATTGAACTTCATATTAGATGACAAATTCAACTTGACCTGACGCTTGGCAGTCAGAGCTTCCTCCTGGACCTGCAGTATTTGCTTCTCCATTTTATTTAAAGGCGTAATGTGTGCTAATTGACATTTACTATCTAAGATGAGGACAAAGAGAAAAGATAAGGCTTTCTCTCCATAATCCTCTAAGATTCCTGGGACCTCTAAGCTTTCTTTCTCTGACAATGAGAGGAGATGGGAAAACGCTAGTATGTTTGTTGGTTGCTCAAACGTTTTTAGGATTCCCTTTCTAGAGTAACCTTTAGAGAGATCCTGAAGGAAAAGAAAAGGTAATGTGTCTTCTAACTAATAAGTAGCATTTGGACGACCTCCTATAAGGCACTTCCATACACATAATTTCATCATGTCTGTACTTCTCCCCACAGGAGAAGCCAGCCCTTACACTTAGGAGGGATTAATGCATATTTGTCTAACTGAACAAAATCCTTTCGATGATGGCAAATTTTTTTTGTCCTTGAAAGCAAATTTGATTCATTATAGCTAATTTTGACAAAAATGTTAAGTTAGAGGGATACCTTTTGGGGAAGAACCAACTTGTGACTATGAGGTAGAAATGATTTTCTCATCACCTCTTGATCCAGCTCCTCAAGTAGTTCTAGAACTGGGGCTCTTGGAATGTTGAGCACATCAGTCCCCAGGAAATTGATTTTGAAAGGCAGCGTTTGTTAGGATGTGTAAGTAGTGGCTTCAGGTGCCTTGTCATCATTATTTGTGTGTCATTCTGAAAATAAATCCTCCCCAAATGTCGTATTCCACGATGAGGGATATCTGAACTCCATAGTTCAGCCCTGCTGCTTCTCTCTCCTCTTCTGTTACTAATGATTGCGAACAGTGCCCCCATCAGATCACCAAATCCATCCCCTTTCTTAGCTGTTCTGCTCCATTCCTCAGCAGCAGCTTCTAGCACATATGTGGAGCATCTGGCAGAGACCTAGCCAGGGTCAGGTGCCCAGTCAGTGGGCATTCTCTTCCCCTCCCAGACTGCAAGAGCTTCTTAAAGAACCCCTGTTCCCATGTGTAGCTGTAAAGCAGGTGACCACATAGTGTGTAGCATCTAGAAAAGGTGATCTGTTATTAGATGAGTGCTGCTGGAAAGGTTTGCAGTCTCCTCTTTTTGATTATTAATTAATCAAAAGTTAATGCTTTCAACTTTATATTTTCGGAAAAGTGTTTTTAATTAAGAAAAATATGTGGTAGGGACCAATAAATAAATTATACTCTTCTTTATTAAATTTGAAGTAAGTAAAAGAGCTGAAGGAAGAGGTATCTTATTAAGGAAACTTAATCTGATTGTGAAAGTCATATGTGTGAAGAAATATCATTTAAGTCAGTAGGAAGAGTCAAAGGGTCGTGAGCGATACAAGACAATGTGATTTTGGAAACTTCCTGCAACAACACTTTTTATGTTTTTCTCTACTAAACCATGTCCTATAAGAAGTTGGTTACATGATGGTGCATTTCTGAATCATCGATTAAAATCAGTTGCTTCTGATATTAGTCGTGGGTTTTATAACTCTTCAGCTTCCCTGCCCTTGTGTTTCATTTCTTTTTTTAAGGTGAACTATCAACCTTTAAAAATTTTTTTAGATTTAGAATTTATAAGTACAGTACATTTTAAGCCATTGTTCTGTTAGCTGAGCTAACATGTTTGGTCTTGGAGGGGCTGACTTCCATGCCGTTTGTGATCTGGTGGACTCTGTACATGAGCTTCAGTGTCTACGGCAGCCCGTGTCCCTGTGACATGCACATAGAGTGCTTTACTTAGAAACACACTCTGCTTCTGGGCGGCCCTTTGTGGTCTGCAGTTGCTTACTCAGGGGTTCATAAGAATGACAAAAATACCCACTAGCTGTCTAATAGTATTTTAAGACTGCTTATCTATTACAAGGGTGTTAGGGTCCTTTCAGCAATTCCATGAACATACTGTTCAGTAGACCCCCTCTGGAAATGTCCCCAGTCCTATCCTGGCGCAGGCAGTAGCCTGTGTACAGAAGCCATTTGCATGATTTCTTGTTGCGCTGCTGCATCAGGGCACTTGGAAGCGATCCTCAGCGGTACGGTTGACGCAGGCATTGATCTTTCTTCTCCACTGTTTCTATATAGCTTTTCATTAAAAGGAAAAAAACATACCACTACTCTGCAAAGCAAAAGTTTTCAAAATTCTTCAGTTACCCTTTTTAATCACTTCTCTTTCAGCGTGAGCAAATGTTTTCAGCTAAGCTATGTGAGAACACAACAGATCTTGCTTGTTTTAAGCACTGTCCATTCTATTTTATATATTTTAAAGTGTGATCAGTATTTCTTCCCTGTACTTTATAAACAGAAACCACCCTGAAATGGTTGATACCCCTTGCAAAGCTGATCTCATCCACAGACTCCTGCGTATCTGTGTCTGTTTATAGGTGTATATGGAGTCAGCGGTGACAAGAAAGGTGATCTAGAAGTAATTCTGTTGCTTCCCAGAAGGCTAATGAGCCAGTCTCCTGTGGCATGTTTGATGCATGAATCCCTTTGTGTCACGACAATTTTCACTAGAATGTCAGTAAACAGCCCAACTACCTCATATG